TGATGGCACGGTGAATGGGCGGTAATGACTTGGTAGTGGCGCGGAAATGCTGCGCTGGCCGGGCATGGCCGGGCACTTGACTTGACTGTGGCCGGTCCTAGCCGGGCATGTGGCTCGGATGAGGCTTGAGATGGCGGGCATGGCCGGGACGGCGAGGCCAACGTGCTGATCTGCCCCAACCTGGACGCCGCGAACATCCTGTTCAACGTGCTCAAGACCACGGGCGGCCACGGCACGACCATCGGCCCCATCCTGCTGGGCGGTGCTGCCGCAGCCCATGTGCTGACCCCCTCCGCCACCGTGCGCCGCGTGGTCAACATGACGGCCCTGGCCGCAGCCCAGGCCATCGCTGCCCGCGGCTGATCCGCTGCGCCCCCCGAAAGGCGCCCCTGCGAAGGGGCGCCTTTTTGATTGCGAGTCGTGCATCGGCACGCATCCCTCGGGACCCACGCAAGCCCGGCTAGAATACGGAGCTTCGGAGACTTGGGTGAGCGGTTTAAACCAGCAGTCTTGAAAACTGCCGACGGGCAACCGTCCGTGAGTTCGAATCTCACAGTCTCCGCCAGATCCTTGTATCAACCGACAGGCGGCCAAAGAGCCGGCCCTGTTGCACAGCGCCCCGATGCCGCAAGGCAGCGGGGCGTTCCTGCGTCTGGGGCATTGGCGGGCGCCTCAGCGTGGAGGCTCGTGGTTGGTGACGAAGTCGGCGGGCACGTCCGGCCCCCAGACGTAGAGCGAATCCTCGGGAGGATGGTCGGCCGCAGGCCACACCGCGCCCGCCTCGACAAAGTCGATGTCGCAGGAGTACTCGGCGAAGCTGCCCCAGGGATCGCGCACATAGCGAAAGAAGTTGGAGCCCAGCACATGCCTGCCCACGCCCCAGCCCTGCGCATAGCCCGCCTCGGCCATCTGCCGGGCGCCGCTGCCCACGGCGTCGACAGAAGGCACGCACCAGCTGCTGTGGTGCAGGCCGGGTCCATGCGATGCGGCCAGTGCCAGCAGGT